CAGCTAGTCAATTTCAGGCGCAATTTGGTGGTCAACAGAGCAACTTGGTCAGCCCCAATACAGATAGTGGCGCGTTTGTCCACAGCCCGACAGAACCATGGAGACACCAGCCGCCGAGAGCTCAGGCACAGGTGGAAGAGATGGATGTGTATCCCAGCGCCAATGCCGCCCCTCAGATGGATCACCCTGTGGAGGACGCAGAGTTCCAGTACCCATGCTCGGACGACGATGCCTCCATGCCCGACTCAGAGGACGCATTCGAAGATCTCATGGGCGAGGAGAGCGCATACGGTCAACTGGTGCAGAGCCGGAACGACGGGCCTTGGGATGGATTCGGAACTAAGATGAGGTCCTTCTCGGCCTTTGCTGACGAGACAATTCTCACATCGTACATACCTACGCCCAACAATTCGCCACTCAATGATGAGCGAACTGCTGCTTTGTTCTGGCACTTCATCAACGTCACTGGGCCAAGCATGTCGCTATACGAGCGGCATCCTTTCGACCACTCAAAGTTGACAAACAACTTCTCCGTCCCTAAAGCGGGACACAACATCTGGACTTGTAAGATGATGGAATTCCGTGGTTTAAGCTTTCCCTCTCGACTAACTCTTGGCCAGACACATTTCCCATTATATCGTTTACGCATCCTGCCCTCCTGCAGGCAATGCTTGCATTGGGCGCGTTGCAGATCGCCAAGCTACAGCAGATACCGCCGACAGCAGCCATGAAGCATTATCATCTTGCCATCCGCAGGATCGCAAAGAATCTACGGAGTCCTAAGAGGAGAACGTCACCGGCAACGCTGGCTGCCTCCCTGTTGCTTGGGTACTTTGAGGTCTGGAACTCGGATCACACAAAGTGGTGCAACCATCTTTTTGGCTCCAGGCTCTTGATCAGGGAGATCCCCTTCAGGCAAATGACAAAGAACATTCTGCCGCTGAAAAGGGTGAGGAGGGCGCTGTTCCAGGAGAGCCAGAACCAGCCAATGGACCCTTTTTACATGGGCCACGACAACACCCACATGATGAGCCACGATCTCGATGATCTCGATCTCGGTTTCCTCAGCAAGCTTACTAACCAGCACGTCTCGTACGAGGACGACAAGCCATCTCCACACTACTACACAGACCGCGATATCGAGCACTACGAACATCTGAGAGATTTGTACTGGTGGTACTGCAAGATGGATGTATATCAAAGCATGTTGGGCGGAGGGAAACCTTTGTAAGTTTCGAAGGATTTGGATAACATTGCAGTCAAGATGGTTAGTTGGCTTACAAGCGAAAACAGCATGGACTACCAACACTGGACGCAGTGCCCACCACGAGCACCCATGGGCCGACTTGAGGCCATGTAAGTCTACCCATGTTCCCATACGTAAGGCACGACTTGGCTGACAAATAGTAGATACGGGACGTACGATCACCTCATGCTGCTGCTCGGACGCCTGTGCAGCTTCGCATCTAAAGATCTTCCGAGAAAACGGAAATCCTTCAAGGGTTTTGGTCCTCCAGGAGGCCCGCCTGGCGGACCCCCCGGCGGACCCCCCGGCGGACGGCCTGGAGGACCGCCGCATAGTGGGCAGCCACATGGAGGACCACCAGGTGCGGGTGGCCCACCGAGAGGTGGTCAAGGTTGGCCGCCGCCAGGGATGGGACCGCCGCCGGGAATGGCAACGGGCATGCACGGAGGAGGGCCTCCCGGTGGGATGATGGGAGGAATGCCAGGTGGACCTCCTGGGGCTCCCCCGATGGGCATGCCGCCGCCAAACATGACGGGAGGGCCGCCGCCAGGAATGGGGCCGCCACCGGGAATGGGCCCTGGCGGTCCCGGCGGCTCGCCGCCCATGTTTCCGGGTATGCTCCCTAACCTCGGAAAAGTGACGCTGCCAATGGGCTTCAGTCCCCCGCGCGACGACTCCCCGCCACCGCCCGACGCCCGAGAGGAAGTCGACCTTGACTCGGACGAAGCCGCCGACGCTGCTATGCGCGAGTGGACCTCCCTCCGTGAGGCCTTTGAGATGCTCCGGTCCCGCTTCGGTCCCGAATTTCAGCCCCTAGGCGCCGAGTATGCCGACCGCCGAGATTCACCCTTTGGTCCCACGCTGCAGTACCGCACCTTTTCGGTGGCAGGCATCTGGATGAACTACTACATGGGCCTCATCCACCTCTACCGCGCGCACCCCAAGATGCCTCCCGCCGCTATGATCGCCGCGGGGATACAGGCACAACACACGGCCAAGTTCGCCATGGAGATTGGTCGCATTGCGGCCGGGTTGACGGACGATTGTAGCAATGTGCTCGAGATTAGCACCCTCGTCGGCGCAGCGCTGATCGAGAGTTCATTCTGTCTGTTCGTCAGTGCTATTCAGGTGAGAAGACGCCCCTTTCTTCACCCGCCTTCTCGCTCAAAGAAATACTATCCGTGTTCTCTTGTACTTACCGTGGATACCACGCTTGCTAACACTCTCCACAGTACCAAAGCGACGCTCAACGTCACTGGATCGTCAGGCGCATGCACGACATCGCCCGCCTCACAGGCTGGCAGTCGGCGCGGCAGATCGCCGAGGGCTGCGAGTCCGGGTGGAAAAAGGCGGCAGCCATGGGCCGGGGTCCGCCGTACGCGCGTGACCCGAGCCTGCAGACTGTGGTGCCGCCGTCCGTGTGGTCGAACCCGCGGCGTATCGGCGCACGGATCGAGCAGCTCGATAGTGATGACACGGTGCTCGTCGTCGCCAAGTCGGAGAGGGCGTTTTATGCTCTGGGTCTGATTAGCGTGGAGGAGGAGATGGAGAGGTTGGTGATTAAGGATGAGAATTGAGAGGAGGTTGACTCCCGGCGGAATCACCTTGGGTAGCGAGTGTTCTGAGCGACTATGAGCGTTGATGGAAGCGTGGGCATGAACGCATCCGTGTCAATGGGTGGAGGCGCAACTCAGGTAATGTCCTGGAGAGAGGCCATAGTCCTACGTTTTGTAAATACAATGTGCCCATTCACAACGTCACATCATAGATAAGATTCAAAAACTAAAGCCACCATCACGTTTAGTACAATAGTGATACACTCTTTGGAGGGGAAAATCGTCTAGACGTCAGTTTCCAAGTTTCGTAATCGGGTGATCTTTGGGTTTCTCGCTTTCTCTCTTTTTCGCGCTCTCTACCTCTTCTTTGGCTCAAGTGTCTTCTTTCACTTTTTCCCGAGTCGCCGAGACCGCAAGATTGCACCCTATATCCTCTTTCAAATACCACAGACCTCGCATCCCTCTAGTTCGCAGGGAGTCTCTCCACCACAGCGGCCATCTCCTCATCCGTGTATATTCTGAAGCCCTTTTCCTTCGTTACGCTCGCAAGCTGGACGTTTTTCGAGTCCAGCTTCTCCTCCATGACCTGCTTGAGCGTCTTGAGCACCAGTGTCTCGGCATCCGTAATTGACAGGGACTAATGGGGTGTGTTAGTGCATGTGTGTGAGAGTCGGCGGGGCGCCGAGTGACAGCACAAATTTGTCAGCGCCTGGGGTTGGGGGAGAGAGAAAGGCTTACCTTGTGGTACTCGTTCTGCAGCTCAGCCTGCGCACCCTCGGAGCCGGAACCGATAGCCTTGGCGTCGTAGCGGTAAAAGGTACCGCTGGGCTCGGCGTGGAAGAGCTGGGGGCCGTCCTCGTCGTAGCCGGCGATGAGGAGAGCGACGCCAAAGGGGCGGGACATGATGGTTTCCTCGCCCTCGGCACCCTCGCCGAAGCGGAGGGCGAGGTCGCAAATGGCCTGGGTGCACGACTCGACGCGGAGGGGCTCGTTATAGTTGAAGGAGTGGGACTGGGACTCGACGCGGGCGTGCTCGACCATGGAGCGGGCATCGGCCTGGAGGCCGGACATTGCGCAGCCAATGTGGCGGTCAATCTCGACAATCTTTTCGACGGACGAGGTCTCGAGGAGGGTCGAGGTGACGCGCTTCTCGACGCCGAGGACGACGCCCTCTGCGGTGGCGACGCCGATGGCCGTGGAGCCGAGCTTGATTGCCTCGAGGGAGTATTCGACTTGGAAGAGGCGGCCTTCTGGGGAGAAGGTGTTGATTCCTCGGTCTGTTGGATTGGGGAGGATATGTTAGACGAGAAAGCTCTCTGGCGAGGGGGAAGAGAAGCTGGGGTTGCTTGGTTTGGGTGCTTTACCGTATTCAGATCTTGCCATAAACATCTTGGCGGTATTGTGTGTGTGTGGTTCCTAGATGGAAATAAGGGGTATCCGGATCGGTAAGGTCAATGGCTTGAGAGTCGTCGGGGTTGAGGTTGTCGTGGATCGGGGATTGCGTGGATGCTGGTGGTTTGGACTGAGGTGTGGATGGATGGAGGGGGAGCTTGGAGGAAGGTCCAGGTAACAAACGGTGACGGTGGAAGGCTGAGATGGCAGGTGCGGTTAGGCAAGCACCTGGCCTACGCAGCCGCACCTTACCACCTGGGAAAGCTTCTAGTGTACCAGGTTCCCTTTGGGGGGCGCACGGGGTGTGTGGCCCAGCACCTCAGCAATTGGAGCCGACAACGACCAGGCCCCAGGCGATACTGCCCCCTGTTCTCTGACTGGAAGCTTCATGATTGGTCATCTTGGTCACTCCCAGATTCCCCTCCAACAGCTACCGCCCCCCCGAACGCTAAACCCGGAATATTCCAGGGGAGGTTTACCACATCCGGGACCAGGGTCAACAACACGCGAGGATTTTCCGACTAAACGCGCTTGAGGTTAATGGCCCTTTACCGCGTTTGAGTACCTGAGTACAGCTAAGGTACCGTACGCAGTGCCCAACCCACCTTCACGCGCGGAGTGTAAGACTGCGACTCTGCGATAGAGGGGCAGACAGACAAGGACCACAAACCACAAGACCAAGCAACGAATACCTCAAAACCACCACCAATCCCCTCCAACCATCACAGCAGAGTCGGCGTCTTGCCATACGAACAACACCAATACCCCTGCAAGACGCCTCCTACACTTCAGATGCAGTCGGCGACATGTCGTCTGGCACCACCAGGGTCTCAACCCATGAGCGGCGCGCAAACGGCTCGACCGCCGGCGTTGACCAGGACCGACCTTCACGAACGGCACGAATGAACGCAGCAGGCGCAGCGGCGAGCGGCACGGGCACAGGTAGCGGGCAGACGAGCTTCAAGAGCGAGCGCAGCGAGAGGAGCGATGCGCGACAACGAGAGAGGGAACGAGAGCGGCCGCGGGAGCGCGAGCGTGAGCGTGAACGAGAGCGGGACCACCACCAGCAGCGCGAGAGGGAGGAGAGAGAGGCGTCACCTGGAGGCAATGCGCACAAGAGATCTGCGTCAGGGAATCCCAGAGCTACGAGCAGGATGCACGACGACAGGCGTGTGGAGGAGAGGCGGACAGAGAGGACATATGTGACGGAGCGCGAGACCATGACGCAGCGGACGAGGAGCCCAGTGAGGGGTGGAGGCGATAAGGGGAAGAACGGCGAGGCCAAGTCGCGGGCGGCTGAGGCGAAGCCCAAGGAGGCCAAGGTTGACACTCTGCAAGGTTAGTGAATGCGATTGCATTGGTGTTGGGAGTAACTCCGGCCGTCTAACTAAACGGCTCTGCAGCACCTTGGAACCCAGAGGCGACTCTATTACCTCACACATCGGCTCCCCTGGCCTGTCGAATATCCATACCGCCGTTGGCGGCACAGGCGCCGCAGCCTCAACAGCCGAAACCACTAAACGAGCTATCTCTCGAGGCGCAAGAGGCGGTGATGTTAGAGGATCTCCTCTTCGTCTTCATGGGCTACGAGGGGCAGTATATCCGCTTCGCAAAGACTTATAATCCGCACGAGGAGAGGGACCGGCTGTCGGGGCCCACGTTCAGGATACTGCCAGGCCTGGATCCTAGTTTGCTGGACCTGACACTGTCGATGCTGAAAATGGCAACATATTATTCAGCCCTCGAAATGTTCGTCGATGTGCAGAGTAGAGAGGAATTCGGCGCCGTCAATCACGCTCTTTGCGCCTCCATCAGGAAATTCTTGCACGACTACCTCATTATGATCGCGCAGCTGGAGACACAGTTCCTGACCAACGAGACTTTTACTCTACACGTTTTAAACATCCACACCTTACCGACGAGCAAGATGATGTCGCATCTATACTCCCTAGCACACGATCTGCTCAAAAGGAACGCGCTTCTAGATGACGATGACGAAGAAGAAAGCGATAGCGCAGACGACTTTGAGAATATTCTCGAGTCGCTGCGGGAGGGCGGCGACCTAGTCCCGGGCTCGGGCAAGAAGATTTGCAAAGGCGGCGTCGTGTTGGGTCTCATCACAAAGAGGCTCGAGTCCATGTCCGGAGACCCGGCTGCGCGCGCGCTGTTGACGTCGCTGCTGCGCGATGCTAGTAAACCTTACATGGTGATGCTCAACGAGTGGCTACACCACGGCAGCATCAACGACGCGCACGCCGAGTTTCTAGTCAAGGAGCAAAAGAGCATTCGGAGAGAACGGCTGGAGCAGGACTACACGGACGAGTATTGGGAGCGACGGTACACGATCCGGGAACACGATATTCCCCCTCAACTGGAAGGTGTCAAGGACAAGGTACTATTGGCGGGCAAGTATCTCAACGTCGTCAGAGAATGCGGCGGCGTGGACGTGAGCAAGGTCGTTCAGGACGTGCCCACATCGTTTGACGACAGCCGCTTCCTGGAGAACGTCAACAATGCGTACGCGCACGCCAACGAGTCCCTCATGCAGCTGCTGCTCACGACGCACTCGCTTCCCATTAGGCTGCGGTCGCTTAAGCACTACTTCTTCCTGGACCCGTCCGATTACTTTTCCTACTTCCTCGAGCTCGGCACGTCCGAGCTGCGGAAGCCTGTCAAGTCCGTTAACACCGGCAAACTGCAGTCCCTGCTCGACCTGGTGCTGCGCCAGCCGGGCAGCGTCGTCTCGCTGGACCCTTTCAAGGAGGACGTCAAGGTGGAGATGAACGAGATCACGCTCGTCAAATCCCTGCAGCGGGTCGTCAACATCACGGGTATCGAGCAGGGCGAGACGCTGCAGCCGCTCGCGAACCAGCAACCCATCGAGAACGACAAGAACGCCATCGGCTTCACGTCGCTCCAGCTGGACTACACGGTGCCCTTCCCCGTCTCCCTCGTCATCAGCCGCAAGACCGTGTGGCGGTACCAGGCGCTGTTCCGATACCTCTTGTCGCTGCGCTACCTCGAGTCCCAGCTCTCGACGACGTGGTACTCGCAGACCTCAGGCCTGACGTGGTCGCACAAGAGCTCCTCGCGCGGCCTCGAGATCTGGAAGCGCCGCGTGTGGACGCTGCGCGCGCGCATGCTCGTCTTTGTGCAGCAGCTGCTGTACTTTTGCACGGCCGAGGTTATTGAGCCCAACTGGGCAAAGTTCATGTCCCGGCTTAAAGTCGGCGAGGAGGGCCAGGAGGCGACGGCGGCGGGGGGCACGACGCCTACGCGGACGGTAGACGAGTTGATGCAGGATCATGTGGATTTCTTGGATACGTGCTTGAAGGAGTGTATGCTCACCAACAGCAAGCTTCTCAGGGTACGTCTTTTCTCCTTCTCACTACCACCCTCGATGTCGTTTATAGTACAGTTCCCAGCTAACGTGCAAACCCTCGGCCAGATCCACTCCAAACTCATGCAAACCTGCACAGTCTTTGCAACCTACTCCAACTGGCTCTCCCGCGAGCTAGAAAAGGCCGACCCGGACCTCTCCGGCGCCACGCGCCCGCCCAACATGACGGCAGACCAATGGCGCGCCTTCCAAGCCGTCAGGACGCAGAAGCCCTCGTCCGGGCCGGGCGCGGGCGGCACCACCTCGCACAACGAATTGACTTCATCGGCGGGGGCCGGTGGCGGCAGTGGCAGCGCCGCGGAGCAAGAAGCCCGCGTGAGCAACCTCTTTGAGATTATGAAGAAGTGGGAGGGCAACTTCAGCAGGCACCTGCAGATCCTGCTCGACGCGCTGAACCACTACGCCGCGACAGAGACGGTCGTCCTGCTGAGTCTCTGCGCGAGGTTGAGTACCGCGAACCAGGGGACCGAGTATGCGGGGTTGAGGAACGAGGACGATAGCGTCGCGTGAGAAGAAAACATACCCTCTGCCCCCCCAAAAAACGTCTTTTTTATGTTTCAAAAGAAAGAGAGAGATTCATGGCATGGCGTATGGCTTTGCGGGCGTTTTTTTTCGCGGCGTTATAATGGAGATGGTTAGACTGGCGGGTTGTCTAGTAGCTTCAACTATTGCAAAAAGCTTGAATGAGAGAGATTGTGTGTGTGAGAGGCAGAAAGAGTGTGAGACCGAAACGATGAGAGAGAAAGGGCCAGCTCATTCAGAGGGGTTGAGCTCCTTAAAACCTATGCTGAACAGATACCAATACCATAGATTAAGCAATGTGCATCTGATTGCCAAGCGCAAGTACTGACCAAGGTCTGAGCTCCCATCCAGACCCCAATCGCGCATACACTTAGTGGAGCATTTTGTGTCGTGATATTCGTACAGTGTGACATTATTCTATTCGTCTCAGTATCGTTCAAGAGAAGAGATGTTTCGTCTCCCCAGGCGTGCCCTTCTTTGTCGCCATAATTCCGTTTTTGGGTATACAGATGTGATACACGATTGTTGTTGGTACAGATTGGTACAGCTTTTTAGAGCAACATGGCTCGGAACCTTAAGATCTCTTTCTCCTCTAATCCTTCTTAAGGGCCTCCTTGACGAGCTCAGCAACACGCTTCTTCTCGACCTCGAGGTCCTTGTCCCCAGTCGCCTTGTTGATGAGCTTCATGACCTCTCCAAGCCCACTCTTGCCCGCTGCGACGGAGTCCTCGATGGCCTTCTGGATGAGAACGCGGACGTCGGCCTCGGTGACGGTGACGACGCCGCTGCTGGCAATGTACTCGGCCATAACCTTGGCCTGGGTGTCCTCCTTCTCAGCGAGGTCGTCGCGACCGGCGTCACGGAACTGCTTGGCGGCGTCCTGGGTGGCGCGCTGCGTCTTGCGGAGGAGGGCGACGAGCTGGGCGTCCGTCGCAATGGGGGAGTCTGTCTTGGCGGCGTTGTTGGTGGCGGAGAGGACGGAGCGGAGGACCGACAGACGAGGCGCGTCCTTTGCGCGCATGGCGGTCTTGAGGTCGGTCTTGAGAGTGGCCAGGAGCTTGGGCTGGGCCGGAGCGGCATCGGAGTAGCAACGGATCGTCGTCCGGAGGGGGTGGACGCGGCCCGGCACCATTGGCCGGAGGGCTTGGGCGAGGCGGACTGAGGTTCGGGAGGCCATTGTGGACGGAGGAAGGTCGTTCGTTTGCCTGAGCTTGGATTTTCGAGGGGGAGCGGTGGTCGTTCCTCAATTGATCGGTCTTTGTATCGTTCTGACTGTAATGGGGTAGTGGTACAATGCGATCGACAAGCTGTTGTTGGTCTGTCAGTTGCAGTCATGCAGAAAAAAAGTTACTGCTGGGAGCTCTCAAAATGCATAAATGTTCGGGACAGCTTCTCATTGGCTAGCAACGGCTGGTTGTTCTGGCCAGGTCCACGGCAGCAGGAACATCCCCGGATCCTCTCCTCCACAGGTGGCGCGAAGTGGCACCAGTGCCTGGGAGTAGCGTCCGTGAGGATGTATTGGCGGGGGGGCGTTGAATAAAAAAGTGTTTGATATATTGGACACACTATTGGCAGTAGTTTCCTCGCATTCTACCCTTTGAGGGTGCCATCTTGGTTGAAGATTGCAGATGCCAGATTGACAGGTACATGGAGGCCTGATGGTTCGGATGACACAATCAGCCGCACACTTTATGCGTTCAGGGAATCTCGCGGATATTTCAACTTCCAAGTCATTGATGCGCGCATAACTTGGGACACGCGTTCCGTCGATGGGCGTGTTGGTGATAATTCGCGGATCAGTTGGAGCTCTTGTGAAAGAATGTGAAGACTATGCAAACCCTGAGGCCCAAATCACCTGATGTGCCGAAGATCAGGGGAGCTGCAGGAAACAAGGGTCGGGGCATCCGCGAAAGGTTCCCGATATCACATCCACCGGGTGTTCCAGGTTCGAAGTTCCAGCAGCTGCCACCTATGTCGATTTGGCCCCGGTAGACAATCTACCAGCCAAGCTGAAGGGGTTTGTGCGTCCATCGGATCGATTTGCATAGAAACTTTGACCGTTGCATGCTTCATCATCGCGGCAGCTTCAGTTGATGTCCCTGGCATTGTGACATTCCAGGGGCAGTGTCGGTATCCGTATCCGAACTTTGCAGCTTGCCCCAGCGGCTATCTACTCGGTCAAGAAGGAATCGTCAGCCGAAATGTCTGTGCCCCTGATCATGCTAAGGAGGAAGTTTCCGAAGCCGGGGAACCTAGATGGCGCAAGGGCTCTGAGCAATCACCGGCGTGGAACTTGGCTTGAATGCGGGCGTGGATGCCAGCGTGGAACTTGTGAGGTGCGGAGGCGGCAAATGTGGCATGGCGCCAGCAAATTATCTCATCTTCAGATGAAAGTGGATTCCGATTGCCTCTTTGTCAAGAACGTCAGAGTCAAGCCACGACTCGACAGTCCATTCCGCTCTGACATGGGTTCGATGTGCTCAGCTCTGGCGGTGTTGTAACTTGTGTATGTGCATGTTTGTGAGAGAGAGAGAGAGAGATTGTGCAGGCTCAATGTGACGTGAGTTGTTCGTCTGCAGTCCACCTCGGTCCTCACCGAGAACCCGAGGAGACGGTAGCGAGTAAAAAACCATGCAGACCTCTTGCGTTCCTGGCAAGGCCTGGCGTCTTGCTTCCCTCCATTCTAACCCAATATGGAACAGATAAAGCAACAGCAGCGGATAACATGGTAAGGTACAGAGAAGGTAGAAGAACAAGAACTCGTGCCATCCTCCCCCCTTGAGCCTTCCCGTCCGCTTCTTCCACCTTCAAGACGTCTCTTCCGAATCCATCACTGTGGGGGGATTCCTCGCCTTCCCTTGCCTTACCTTACCTTACCATACGTTCACACCACCTCAGGCAACCTGAATCCAAAATGTACAGTACTTATCTGTGTCAAAAGTTGGTAAGTAGGTACCTTGCCGTGAACATGGGCATGGGAAGCCGCCGGCCTTGTTCCGGATTTCTTCCTTCCCACCACCATCCAATAAGGCACTTACTTACCTTAGCTTCCGCCGCTCTCCACATGCGCCTCACTCTCTTTCAACTACACGTCTATCCCCTTCGGCTTCAACATATAGACACTATCTCCTCAAAGCATATCCTCTTCAATGTCTGTCTTGTATGAAGTACTTCTTATCCCGAAACAGGAATAACAACATCCTCAGTGATCATCAGCACCCATTTCCGTTCTCTACTCACTCTGTTTGCAATTGTCGTTCGGTCATCGACAACTAGTCTCCCCTTGACACTTGCGTCTCTTTTCGATAACAACAAGCAGTCGGCAATCGAGTCAAGTCCACGTTCTTTCCAAAGCGACAAAAAGCTTGCTCGCCGTACATCACTTGTCTGATGCCACACCGTCGATGACTGCCTTTTGAAAATCAGCAACGATACGAGTACGGAAAGGGCAGCTTTAACTGAGCTCTCACAACTCCGTCATACAATCGCCAACGCCGAAGATCGTGCAGCAAAAAAGCACTGCAGTAGCGAATTAATCAAATAGGATTGCGAGCTAGACAAGGGGTATTTGCTGTCGTCACATCGTCACCATCGTAATCCAGGTCCAAAAGAAAAGGCCCATCAAGTCCTGGCTGGGAAACAACGCTCTACGCCACCATACAAAACTCGCTCTGAAAAGCAGCATCGTCATATGGCCCTCATCTGCTCGTCTCAACGACGAGCCTTTCGTCCTATACAAACGTACCTTGAGGGCCCATATGTCAGTACTCGAAAGAAAGTGGGCGGCTGGACAAGTTGGGAGTCACTTACATTGGGAAATACGCCTAGGAAGAGCCGCCGAGAGTGGCTCGAATGTTAGTAGGCATTCCCACTCGAAAAAAAGATGACTGTTTTGGGGGCAGGGAACTCACCCTAAACGCCGGGTTATCAGCCTCGCTCCTTGCTTGAGCTACCAACACTTGGAACTCTTGAGACGTCATTCTGCAGTGCCACAGTCAGTTCACATCGATCCGAACTCGGCGTTAAAGGCTGCAAACAATGGGAAAAGGGAGACTCCCTTACCCTCGGAACTCTGTCATGGGATACATCGCCAGTGACGCAAGCATCCTCCTCACATTTTCTCTGTTAGCCACACCGATTTGGTGCTGCCTCGGGTCTAGTCGAAAATCAGGTCAAAGTTTCTGCACTTCGGTTTCGAGGTTTTCATACCATTTGACCAACCGCAAGTCGGGAGAGGGATCATTTGGGTTTCCACCGAGTCGAATCCAGCACTTTGCATCCAACTTTGCATCTGCATTGGCGCCCTGGGGTCTTTGTACGGTTGCATACTATCCAGGTATCGCCTGGACCACCTACGAAGGGCGTGATCTGGCACAGCAGGCAATCAATGCAAGGTCCGATCTCTAGAAGGGGATCCGACCTACTTTGAGTCAACGTTCCGTTGTCTGACTGCGCGTTAAAGTATATCTCCACCATTTGACACCAACCGCCTGGTCGAAGTACGCGATGGATGTCTCGAAGGTAATCCCGCCATCGATTCGAGTGGATACCGCCTGCCATCATCTGGCTATGTACGAGGTCGAAATGATTTGATGGAAAGGTGAACCTAGGCCAAGTCAGCTGAGTCAGGAGCACTTCAGGGTCCAACCTGCGGCTGAAGCTCGCCTGGAAATGTACCTGCTATTGAGGTCATCGACTTGCAGATTCAAGTTCGTCGGCGTCTGGCTTTCGTCGGGCCAGATGTGTGGGCAGATATCGATGGCTACTACCTATCGGACAAAATCAGCACTGCTAACGCAGCGGCACCCGAAGCGGCGAGGCGATCAATCCGTTCCTGTCACTCGTCATCATGATCATGATATGGATGAGGAAAAGAGAATTGTAGTCCTCTTAACCAGAAAGCATGGAGTTTTCTGCACATAGACAAGCGCAGAAGAGGGAGACAATAGCCCGTCGCGTTGGCGATGGATGCAAACGACTGGCTGATCCGGTCATCCCACGACGTCCAGCAAGACGCGCCAAAGGCATGGATACCGACTATCGCACAGTCGCGAAAGGAATGGGACTTGAGTGCGTACAGCACGTACCTCGCAGTTTGGGTGTTGTTGTGCAACGTCGATAGCCCAGTCGCCGGCTCCGAAGCCGCATTCAAGAACTCGCCGGGGCCTGGTGATCGGTGGAAAAAGGAGGCGATTTTCGAATACTATGGATAGTACAACGTGCATCATTTGCAAGCGTTCAACTTCATCCTACAACCGGGTTGGAAAAATACACTCAGCAAGACGTGGTGTGTTTAGGGGCGGCATGTCTCCTACCTCATCTATCGGCGCGAAGTATGCTCCATTGTCAACTGCGTATCGTTGGTATTCTCTACCTTGGTACGTGATGGTTTCCAGGAAGGCGTTATCCAACGGAACTGTCTGTGGATCACTGGGAGTGTTTTAGCGACCAAAGGAATCCTTCGCAAGAGGAGACGAGTTTCAGCAATACCTTGCCATGTCGACAACCACAATGGAAGAATTCTTCTTACGAACAGGTTCGACTAGACTGAGTTTCTTTCGTCCAAAGTCTGCCTTTGGAATTCGATATTGGGATGAACTAGAGCTTGTATGTGGTGGTTACGTTGCTCCAACGAGGCGATGTTCCTAGGGATCCAGGACGGGATGGAAGGCAAGGACTAGTTCTCAAGCACTGCCCACAAACGAAACCCGAAAGTCCGTCAAAGGAGCCATATCCGGATCACAGGGGTTTTCACGAAGGCGGCAGTCGTGTCTAATAGACATAAAATTAACTGCCTACTATGTCGGAGGTGGGGACATTGGTCAAGTCGAAAGGTACTCGACATTGGCCGGCCTTTGCTTTCTACACCCCACGACGTCGCTGTCGATCTTGGGTTAGTACACCACGACCTACACTGGAAAAGTTGGGAGCCTGTTCGGTACCCTTTGGTACGCGGTGCGGTGCGGACGAGGCAGTCTTCGGGTGACATGGATATGTCCTCTGCTGTTATTGCTGGCCCCGAACCCCCCTGTACACACGAAAATTCGAGAATGGAGCCGGCAGACAACCAAGACGTGCTAATCCCAGGTCATTGAGTGGCATAGGGCGGGTGTGGCAGCGGGTCCCAACCCATCCTGGCAACTTGGACACCGCTTTTACCAGTTGCCAGATCCATGGATCCCGTTAACCGTAGCTTACCTTTCAGAGGCTCTTCCGGAAGCCAGGTAGACGGTCGTCTTTCTGAACGACCTGGTCGTTGTCTAGCGGGACGCACCATCACAGACCAACATCCCACAAGGCTGCGAAAGGGTCGAATTGGCTTCTGGATTTACCCAGGACGATGAGTTTTTTGAGCTTCTTCGAACGGCTCACCGCCGCCACCCCGGAGTCGGGCGAAGACACCGATGCTTGCTGCTACAATCAGAGCACCCACACCCACGACGAAGCCTAGTGGTGGATGTTGTCTTGAGACCAACTGCATGGCCCGAGTCCTGGGCCCAACACACGAATTCCTGTTGTAACCCTCCAGCCAGTGCCCAGGCTATGGGAAGCTCTTCAGCAAACACGGCTCTCCATTCCTTGTTTCCTGATCAACCCCTCCCCCCTACCTCATTATGAAAAGGAGCGTTGCTCAAAGGAGGGGTTACATAGTCGATCCGCTCCCATCGCGCGCGGAGCTTTACTCAAATTCCAGCGGCTCCCATGTCCCAAGGATCCGGTCGTTGGCTTGAACATGAAGACATGGCAGCTACAGGTGGTGGGAGGACGAGCTAGAGCAGCGTTGCACAACTCCCGATAGGATACAGAGCTGGACTAGGGATTACGCCGGCGCCACTCCTGCTGTCTCTCGCGATAACCCGCGGTTTCCACTTGCTGAGATTTCCCGAGAACGCGGACTTGGATCCATCTCGGTGTCGTTAGGCTCATTCGCGACTTGTACGGCCCGGGACGAATAGAAGAAGGGAGACCAAGAGCACACAGTTGCAGCTCGATGGCTACCTCGTCCAAGCTAAATCATCTCGTACGACAAGAAGACGGGAAAAACTGTTATGCTGCTTTACCTGCCTGGCATTAAGCAGGCCAGGGTCATATGCAGCCAGGCAGTGACCAAAGGCGGAGTTCATGGTCTGATCCTCACACATAAAGCAGACAATCATCTGCACTGATGCCAGCAAAGTGAGACCCGCGCCATGCCCGTATCTCACGACAACGGCCAGAGAGGGGACACGGGCGCCTCAGACAGAAACATCGATCTTTACTTTGCCCAGCACGCATGCCTGCTTCTTGCGACCTCAGGCCTCCACCACACCACCTCCCCAAGACCATGATGGTAATAATTCGGTCGGATGGCGGTACAATATGCACGGAACAGGCAACGGTCTGCAAAATATAGGTAGGGGCATGGCTTTTTGCTGGTGGGTTGTGTTACTGCGCGTCTTGACACATTGGCGTATTCGGGTGCGTGCTGATGAAGGTTTAATCATCACACACCCTCTCTCGGTTCCTTTCCTTTAATATCTCATCCCTTCTGACCCTGAACTAATTGTTTGGCAGGCGTGTTGCACTTTTGGCAGCAGAGCTCACGGAGCTTAGGCTAACAATGTTTCCTGGGCGGGGGTGATTTTGATGAAGGTTGGAAGAAGAAATTGCCTGGGCCAATTCAACGAACGAACCCCTCGGCGGGCCGCTCTGCAGGTTTGAAACTAACAGAGAGGAGAGCCTGGCCTGGCTGACCAGGTAGCTGCTGGCTCGGACAGTGGAGTTTCGGGAGAGGGCGCGATGACGCGAGCCACAAAACTCTCCTGGTTCCAGCTATTTGGGAACCGAGGAGCGAGGGTCGACAACCCTTCCTTGTCGGGGGAGACCACATCCTGGTGCTTGGGAGCACAATGCCTGTCCACAGCGGCCACGTACTCGCTGCACTCTGCAACCCTTGCACCAACGGGTTCAGATGCATTGCATGGCGGACGGGTAAAAAGCAAAGGGAGAGACTCTTTGAGACGACGACATACTGTGGTTGTGCTGGGCGCTAGGCAACTCACCACGGCCCTAATCGTTCATTTTGTTGACGTCAAAACGAATGGTAAGACAGAAGTGTCCGGCCTCGATACAGACTTGCCCGAGCTACGTGACCATGTCACAGCTGTGCGAGAGGCTGTGGGCAAGTATAGGGACGATGGAGTTGCCGAGCATGTTGTGCGGATGGCCCGGAGGCGACCCCGAGGACGGCAGACGATGTCATTACAACAAGCAAGACCGGTTATAAGGCGGCTCCCAATACATCGTAACGGCCGGGATGCCGCGCGACAAGCAATTGGCAAATTGACGCTTATAGCTTACTAGGTAGCCAAAGATCTACCTAGCAAGTGGCCACGGTATTCTATTCAGAGCAGGGCTGCGATCCATAAGTCGGCAACTCGAACGAAATGGGTTCCCTGCGCATGCTTTTACCGAGCAGCTACCCAGAAAGAGGTAGCTGTTGTTCTTCGACTGACGCAAGACACTCCTCTGCATCGTGGATTCAGGCAAGAAATTAGCCTGTCAGAGACGATGCACGTCAGAGGGGAGCATTTGACCCATCGCTCAATACCTAGGTTGCTCCTGTGTGTAATAATCCCTCCAGCCACTCAACTTGGACGATTCTGATGAAAACAAGCAGGCGTCTGGAGAGGAAATCAAAAGCAGCGTGACTTGGCGGCCGTTGACCGCGACCTCTCGCCTGCACAGTTGCGGACCATGCATCTGCATATCCATACATACATAATATTCCACAACTCTCTTTACCCGACATGATAGAAATTTGGCTTGTGGCCTGCTTCTCTTTCCTTTGTCCAACGGCTTTTCTTCTCCCCATGCAGAGAGGGGGGAGATGAGTTGGCTGTCGATGAGGAGTCACATTCATTCCCGCGAGCAGGGAACCCTGGTCGACAAGTACCCTGCTCGCTCCTCCGTCTTCATTTTCCTCTCGAACAGAACCGTACTCTCGGGTTCCAATAGGACGGGATACTGGGGCATATCGTCCCCCTTATCGATGCCAACCGGCCCCCTACGACCCCTGTCTTGCTGACGGGACCGCAGCTTACGGACTAATACCATGACACTGCGATACAAAGATACCCAGCTGAGCTCCCCCTATTGTTGAATCCTGGATGACGAGCGGCGTTGCCTGCCATCTACGATCCAATCGTCTGGCAATGGCCCCCGGTTCTACGGAGAGCATATCCAAGGACCAGGTTTCTGTCGTTTCACCAGGACGGGGGAAGAATGCTTCTAGAAGACCATGGTGTTGCGAGCTGACTTTCTGAAAAGGCATGGAGCGCGGTGCCGGTCCTGCGAGCCGGCGAGTCTCACCTCCCGACCTCTCTTTTCCGGGTGTTCGTAGGAAGGAAATGAAAGGTGCGGCTGCGGCTGTGGCTGCGACTGCGGCTTTACTGCGGCCATGGGCACATGAATCGACTTTTCCTCTTTCATCTCTTCTGCCATCTACCGACGATGCGGAATTTGGACGTAATACCGACGCCCACCCCTCCTATAATATTATTCTTGCGTGCACAGATCACGGGCTGGGCGGTACCCTGGCACACTCACACACATTCACACGCACGCACACACATACCTACCGTGTATTGTGTACAGTCCTCCAGGCCAGCAATGACGAAGGGAAGCGGCCGCGCCGCTACCGCCCTCTTCGTTCTCCGTGAAACGCGACTTGGGATCACAACTGATGACCGATGGATGACAATCTCGAGAGGATTCGAATACCTACCTTTGGCAAGCTTCAAAGAGCATTGTCAGCAAAAGACAACCGGCGCAACTCGTCGAGAACGGACCGTCATCGTCCCAACGGTCTGACTAGGCCTCCTGTTGTGTGACTTGAGCAGTCACTTTCTATTCTGGTAGCACAATGCATTATCTCTTTTCGTCCTCGTCCTGCAAAATGTGTCATTACAAGGTGTCTCGCGGCCTTTGGCCGTGCTGTGAACACCTGGGCTTTCTATGGGTAAGTCCTCTCTGTATTTTTGCTTCTTTCTCCCTTCTTTCTTTGGTACTCCGTACCATGTTTGGAATTACGAGAACACGCCGGTTGGTGCATAAGCCCCCTCACCCATCCCCTGAACCGGATGGGCGCGCGAAAAGGTACAGATATGTAGGTCCAAGGTGACAAGGCCAAGTTGGAAATCCTTGCCTGATTCAACCCAGGAAAAAAGGGACT